TCCTGGGAATGAATGTAAGAGCAAAAAGTACTGCTAATGAAATAATGATGAAATAATTATTCAGATTAAATAATATTCTTCAGCACTCCGACAGGTACTAATTTTCTCCTTCTTTGGCCTTATTCCTACAGGAAAGGGAGAAGAAAAAGCCTCTCAGGTATCTCTGCTCTGGATGATTCCTTAAAAATCCCAAGGCCCAACTCACCCTCTCCCATGGACCTTGGGGAATGTCCTGCCAGCAGCCTGTGTGGAGCACAGGAATACATGGAGGCTTCACTCCTTGGCTGAACCTTCCCAGGCTGCTCTTCACTGACACAGAACATTCCTGTGAACGTCTCTTCACTGGGTGGATTTGGTGTGGATTTACTTTACCCTCTCCTTTCCCAGTTAAACAAAAAAGAGTACATCCATTTACCTGCTGGGAGTCCATTGTCTAAAATCAAACAGGTATGGCACTGTTTGATGAACAAACCCAGTTCACCCACCTGGAAAGACTTTTCCTTCCAACATATTGTGTCCACACAGCCATGCCCTGACTGCCAACAACAATGGCATCAGCCAAGAGCTTCCTTGTATTTATTGGCTTTGCCTGCAGGAAGCACGTCCTGGTTCACAGCTCCAGCAGTTCCAAAGGTGAGAGTCCTCTGGATATTCCACCAAGATGAGGATTAAAACATTTCCTTAAGCGGCCTCTGCCCCAAAACCACAGCAGAAATAACCTGGGAGGGCTGAATTCAGCCTCATGTTGAACAAATGTCCTCCCCACACCAGTGCAAGTCACGGTTAATACATTCTGTGGTATCTCACTGGGATCCCTCTGAGTTTTCAACAGCACAGAGTCAAGAACAGGCTTCAAAGTTGTCCTCCAAAGTCACCATGAGTTGTGGAAACAGCTCTGCAGGTCTACACATAGTTGGTATCTCCCCGGTCTCCCCTGCCCTGACTTAAATCCGATGGGCAAAACCTGACTGGTTCAGCTCCCCAGCAGCTTTTCCAGCTGGGGCTACGAGGCAGGAACAGTGAGTGGACACAGAAAGGCAAAGGTAGGTCCCTATTTGAAGAAATAGGGACTCTCATTCTTCTGCCACTCTCTGGTTATTCTGCTGTGACTCCAAGGCTCTTATCTGACGAGCAGCAGCTCTGGCAGCAGCAGATGCTGAAGGCTGCAGGGTGTTTACGGGGTCACATCCAGCTTCCAGCTGCTAAAAAAACTTCTTGTGACCTCTTAGTACCTATTTCAGGTCTCTGAGATTAAAAGGCAAGAGCTTGCTAGGAAAAAAAAAAATGAATAAACAGCCCAGCCCAGAAGCCACCCTATATCAATCCTTAAAGGGCAGAGCAGCAGGATGCTCTGGCACTTGATAACGTTACCTGTGTCACACAGCAACGCTTTCTGCTGACTCAGGATCAGCCTTGACATGCTCAGAAACATCTACTTTGCAATTCTCCTCTTCTGCTTTCCTTTTCTCTCCCTGTGTATCTTTCCAAAGCCCATTTCCAGGTATTTCTCACCTGCTTTTTCCACTTGGTCTGATTTGTTTCATGGGTTTTTTTCGTTCTTGCCTAACCTATCTCCTTCCTCCTTAAATACAGTTATTTGAGAGGTATGCACTCCACCACACCAGCCCAACCTACACATCCAACACTCCAGTTTAAGCAGTTCAGCACTGCTGTTTAAACCCAGTTCTGCCTGAGCAAGTGTTTATGCCCAGATTAAATCAACATGGAAAGGCCCAAAAAGAATGTTCTAGTCAGATCTAAACATGCATGCACACATGGATCCCCAGATTCCTGACCAAATGTCTGCCTGTCTAAAATACATCCTAATACATTTATGTCCCTCCAGGAAGGCTGGGTACACACCACTGTAATCTCTTGTTTAAATTCTAGTTGTTAAATGCATTTTATTTGCTCAGGGCAAATGATGCCTTTGTTTCCCTTCCAGCTCCTTGTGCAGCCTTCACGTGGCAGATACCTGGATAAAATTATCCCCTGGAGGGCCCAGGAAGCTTGAAATGTACCCTCGAGGAGCTTTTTGGTCATATGGCAGTGCAGAGACTCCCTTGTAAAACAGAGACACTGTTTTACACCTGCACCAAGTGCAGGACTTTGAAGGCAGAAAGGTTCCCTTGGATGTTTTGTCAGAGCTTCCTCACTGTGCAGCCAAAAAAGCCAAAGCATGTGCTTGATGCCTCTTCAGCTCTCTGCTCTGCTCCTTGCCTTTGCAATGCAGCTCTAAACAAATTACACACCACCTCCTTTCCTACATGGGCAGCACAAACATCCCTTGACTTCCTTGGAAATGGGGATGGCTTTAATTGCACCGGCAGTGCCTTGAAATTCTCAGGTGGGCAAAGCATTTATTCCACCCTGAGCTGCACCAGGACGTGGGATTAACACACATGGCCTTTTTATCTGCTCCTCACTCACCTCCCTGCAGCTCCCTCAAGACATCAAGTAGCAACAAATAGCAAGAAAATCCTTTTCCTCCCCAGAACTCCTTTTTATTCCACGGTTTATTTCCATGAGGTGCCTCCCCCTCAGCCAGGTAATCCCTCTGCTGTGGCAGAGACCAGGTTTTAACCTCGTGTTTACTGCTTTAAAATTGGACAGGCTTGTCTTGAAATAAAAGAAGGGCATCATTCACTGACCAACTTCACCATATTTCAGCAAATTATTCCAGGAACAGTATGTCCACACAAGGGAATTCTACCTTGGACAGGAAATGTTGAGGGAAAATGAGCTGTAAACATCAACTCAAACCTGTATTAACTTCAAAGCTTAAAAGGGAAGGGAGCAAAGCACCTGGCAAGACACAGAGAGATCCCAATCTCCCCTTTCAGGACAATTCCCCTATCCTGAGCCTTTGCCTCTTTGTGTATAGAATGATTTGTCCCCAGTTAAATGTCCTTTTATCCAGGGGCAATGCATACAGCAGCTCTAAGGTGGCTAAATCCAGTGAATCCAGGTATCCTCTGACAACTTGAAAGGAAGATCAAAGACAAACTCAGGACAAAGAGGCAGGTGAATTAAGGTGGCAGCTCTCAGCCCTGTTGGATTTAAGGCACCGTGGTGGCTGCTGTGCACTCCTGCAGGGGTGGTGCATTGGAACGATTCCCTGGCAGGGGTTTGGGATGACCCGTGTGCTGAGCCACGCAGGTCACTGAGAACAAAGGTCAGCTAAACCTTTTTGCCCTCCCATGATGGATTTTAGATGGATTTGAGATGTTTTGCAGGGCTGTGTGGCAATTTAGGTCACTTAAATACATAAAACCTCTCTCCGTGCTGACACACAAACACAAATTACTTCTTTTGCCACGCAGCATAACATGGGTTGTTTTTCTCCTGAACTAGTTTTTGATAGATAGACTAACCATTTAATCTGCAAACCCACAAAACTTCTCTTCCCAAGAGGAATTACTGATGTTTCTTGCAGGAGAGAGCTGAACTGCAAGGGAACCAACAGTTCAGTTGAGGAAGCCCAAGAAGTGTACTTGACATAAAAATCAGACCATTATTTTATTCTGTGCTCTGCAAATTCAATTTTTTTTTTTATTTATTTTTTTTAAGATAGAGATTCTAATTTCCAAAGGTGTTGGCACCCTCAGTTGCCATTGTGCAGAATCATTGCTCACATGGCCATTAATTAAGGCTGTTGTCAGCACTTCCATTCCAAACCTGCCTTTTAGGAGTTTATAACTCAGCCATAAAACCCTGCTCCTCTGGGCTGAAATGCATCATGAAAGGGTCTGCCTGGAAGGAGTCCATCCTTTTGTATTTGAGAGTCCCAAAAGCTCACAGCAGCAAACCAAGGATTTTATTCCAAAGGCTGCCACTCCCAAACCTGGGCTGCTTTTATGAGTGCTGGGTGAGCTGGGCCTGCTGGACTGGCTCTGGGAGCTCCCTGGCAGGGTGGGCTTTGCACTCTTAACGTTGTAAATTTGAGGAATTATGAGGGTTTATGCTTCAGGGCCAAAGCCTGTGTTTAGTTTAATACCAGTGAGCACCTCTGCCCTCACTGTTCCCTGATGGAGTATGATCCATATGGATTTCCCACCCTTCTCCCCCCACAACCTTCACTGGGCCTAATTCATACTCCAGTGCTCAGCTAAAGAGATGGAACTTGTCTCTCCAGGAGCACAGCTTAGGCTGTAAATGGTCCTCTAGTCCACTAGTAGTTGTAATAGTAGTATTTTCCTATATTTTTTTCAGTCTCTTACTGAACAGGAAGTTTGCACAAAAGCATCCAAAACTACTTTTAGCAGAAAAAAGAAGTTATTAGTGGATTGCTCTTTGCAGTCCAGTGGAGCAGCTCCTGATTTCTACAGTACCCACATGTGTCTGAAGCACACCCAGAACCAGACCCTGGACTGTCCTGCACCCTCCACCCTCCTTCAGTTCCCTACTCCCCAACAAGTTTCACGGCCCCACAGGTTAATGTTCCTTGTTCTACAAAACAGACAGTGCCTGCCGGGCTCAGCTGCTGCACCCTGATCTGGCAATCCAGTGTAAAAGAGACATTTCAAAATTCCAGCTTGCTTTTTTTTCCCAGTGCAAAATTTCTGCAGCTGTATTTTTAAAGGATTAGAAAAGTTTAGGACTGTGGGCAACACGTAAAGATAATGCACCGTGCTCAGGACATCAACTGACCCAGAGGTCACAAAGGAATATTCATGTTTGCAATTGGTTACCTTCCATTTATGAATTTCCACGTTCTCAGGACCAGAGTAAACATATCAAAACTAATAAAGGGTTTTCTTTACAAGTCCAATCAATCCTCTCTTCCAACACAAAAGAGACTGTTTCCCCCCACAACTTTCCCCAAAATAAAAACAAAAGAGAGGGGTCGTGGTAAGGGAAGAATGGGGAACAAAGGGAGGAAGAAAAAAAACCCACAGTACCAACAGAAATGTTCATTTATATCTCCCAGCATCCATATGCCAGTAACCATATCATAAACTCTTAGCCTACCATACAAAGAGGGTGCCCCAAAATGGTACCTGCAAGAGGTCTCTCGGAAGGAGATGTTTAAATCCCAGTGGGTGTGTATCCTGTCAACAAACAAACAAACAGAGAGGTCAGTGGCACGGGCTGAATGCTGCATCTCTTGCTACTTAAAAAGATCTGCTCCACCACGACAACCCACTTATGACCCCCCAAACCCATGAGGAGCCCACAGCTGGCAGGACCCCCAGGTGAGCTGTACAGCACCCACAGACCTTCCCCTTGCTGCATGCAAGAGGTGCAGGGACTGCAGGACGTCATCTCAACTCCCAGGCCACATTCAGAGGAAGCAGAATGAGCTCAGTGTTGACATTTTATGAAGAAAACCCAAATCTGTCTGTGCTGTGTCCCCTCCTCCGCACCCGCCCCGGCTGTAAATAAATTATTAGCAATTTCCCACCTCGGAAATTAATTCCACATACTCTGTCACTCTGCCTGCTGACAAGCAGCAATAGCAGATTCTAGATGAACAGAGCAGCCAAGGGGGTTGGTTTTTTGATGGATTTTTTTTTTTTTTCCCTTTGCTACTAAGACAGCATCCACCCCAACCCAGAGGGAAAAGGCCGACGCTTGACCTTCTGTGGTCTGGTGTCTCCTCTCAAAAGCAGGGAGCACTGATCTCCCCTGGCTCAGGGGATGGTCTGTGACCACCACTGTGTCTCCACGTCACGGTGATTGATGACAACCCCAGCCATCTGAGACCAGCCTGGCAAGCTGGAGTCCATATCCTCGCCCAAACCCGCTCCCACGGCTCCCAGAGCCTGCCAGGGAACGTGCTGGGTCCTGGCTGGGCAGATAAATCACCTCCTGCAGATGCAGGTTCCCAAAGGGCCGCAGATATTCACGAGCAGCAGAAACCAAAGGCACTTTCTGCACATTTTGTGCAGCCCTGCAGCAACTCCTGCCTCTGCCCCCAGCAGAAAAAGCAGCGCTGCTTGGCTGTGGAGCATCTGGCTGCAGCAGGAGCCTCACCTAAAACCTGCTGGAGTCAGAGAGAGCCCTTCCCCCGGTCTGAATGGGCTGTGAATTGGGCCAGAAAACACTTCACCATGACCAGAGAAGTCGATGGGACTTCACTCAGGTTTGAGTGTCTGTTTAAGTGCTTTCCTGCTCCAGCCTAGTCCTGAAATTACCTGAGAACAACTCTTAGCACGGAAATAATTTCACATCCAAGACATGCTGGCTGCTGCCAGTTTTACTAATGTGATGGCAGAGCTTTTGTGCTCTTCCTGCAGGTCTGACTCAGAAAGGAGTCTGGTTATTCTTTTAGGGGTGAATAGTTCTTTTTCTAGATATTAACATCCACCAATAAAGCCATTCTCAGAACTCCACTTAGCAGTGCCACGTGAGCCTAGTTTTTCCTATTCTTCTTCCTCATATCTACCAGTCTAGGAAATCTATCCCAGATTTCCACCTTCCCAGTATTTCATTTGCAAACAGAAATGGAGCAGGCTCTTCCCAGCTCCTGAGCTTAAAGCAGGAACAGTTGCTCTTCCAAGTTAAAATTCAGAAAATGTTTGAAAACTTTCTGGAAAGGACAGGCCAAAGTGGGGCACTGAGTAAAACTTCCATGAACTGAAGTCTGGTCAGACTCTGGGATGTATTTGGACTCTCCAGATAAGCTGACCTGAATCCCAGGAATAAAGCAAATTCAAACCAGGCAAGAAAGGCTCAGAAGGGTCTGTCCTGCTCACAGGAGAGTGGAGCTGGTGATAAGCCTGATTTTGCACCGCCCTCTGGAATAGAAGATCTCCCACACACACAAAACCTTCCTAAACCCCTCCTTTAATTCCAGCTCAGCACCTTGCACTGAGCAAATCAGACCCTGGCAGCTGCTCCCTGGAAGTTGGGAGAGCCTCGAACCCAGTGGGACCAGCTGGAAATCACACTGCAAGGCTGAAAGAGAACCTTGTGCTCCTCCTGCTTCTCTGTCCATAAAACATCCTTCAGCACCCTCAAAAAAAAAACCAACAAAACAACCCCAAAAGGGTTTGGCTCTGAGATATAGGTTGATTAAATACCATGTTTGTCTGATTAAAACACCATGATCCCTTTCTTGATGAAAACAGTTTGATTCAGAAAACCTGTGTTTAAGGTAAGTTGCCTCTGAAGGCAACATGAATATCCCCTAAAAGAGCCTAAAAATGGGCCATAAAACACTTTGGGACAGAGGTTTGTCTCATCACACCCCTTTGTGTGCCCCATGGGGCCCTCACAGCACCTGTGGAACTCAGAAGGATGCAGAGCAGCAGAGCATCTTTTTCTTCCAACCAACCATTCTGCCTCACCCTAAAACTCGGGTAACTCCCTGTCTCTCCTCTCCACAGATGCTCAGCTCTGGAGCTCCCAATATCACCACACATCCATCTGCCACAGCAGGGCAAAAGTGGTTTTCACCCTGGAAGGATCCTCAAGCAAGAAGGATCCTCAAAGCAGGGCTGCAACATTTCTTTGACTAATATAATAAGGTATTATACTATAATATAGTATATTGTATTATATATATCTAATGTAGCTATATGTATCTTTTAGATTTTT